TTGTATAAGCAATATTTCATGTGAATATTTGAAAGAAAAGCTGTCACTCATAATTTATATATTTAGAAAATTTCAGATTATATCAGCATGCATTCCAAAGGAAAATACTGGTACCATCACTGTTTTAAAATCTTGAATTTATGTGTATTGACTTTACATTCATTTATTACAGGTCTTTTGGGGCCCACCACCTTATCTTTAAACACTTCGACAACCCCAAACTCACTCTTGAATGCACTTAATAGCTCGGTCAGTCCTTTGCAAAGTCCAAGTTCTGGCACCCCAAGCCCCACCTTGTGGGCTCCCCCGCTTGCTAATACTTCAAGTGCCACAGGTCAGTACCATTTAAGTATAATCAGAGACAGGTATTCTTAGGTATTATTGGGTTTTAAATAACATTTTGGCTCCCCCGCTTGCTAATACTTCAAGTGCCACAGGTCAGTACCATTTAAGTATAATCAGAGGCAGGTATTCTTAGGTATTATTGGGTTTTAAATAACATTTTCTAGTAGCTCAGTTTTTTTAGGGAAAGGTGATTGTTCAAAGCATACTCCAGAAAAACAGAAACTCCCCAATGTGTAAACTGGTTAAAATGAAGCCCAACCAAGCAATGAGTTTTTCCTACAAGTAAAATATAATCTTCCAGGATGATAAGCAGATTAGGAAAAAGAGCATTATGTGCAGGGAACAGTGGCAAAAGCACAGGAAGGTGACTGATCTGGTAAATAGGAAATGTCAGCTGTAGTTGGATTAACTTGCTTGGTGCTTGTATGCACATGCGAAACCTACCTAGTTTCCTCATCTGCACAGTGAGGGGCTTGGATTAAATATTCACTGAAGTGTTGTTCCATTTTAACATTCTTTCGTGTTTTTATAGTAATGTTAAACCTATTTACAGAGAAGTATGAAATGGATATGTAATTCCATATATTTCCCATATTATATACATATCCAACCAATTGGAAAGGCTTAATCAATGAAACATGACATTAATTGCAAGTTCCTCACTCAGGGTCTGAGCCTTCAGCGTCTTTGTATTTCCTGTGGGGCTGAACACAGTGCTGCACCCCACATTTCCATATGTGTGTAGCAGTCATGACTTTTCCACTGGCACAGCCATAGGTTTATTTACTAGATCATAAGCTATTGATGACAGAAGCCATGTTGAAGTCATTTCCATGTCACTGGTTCAGAGTGCTTGGCATCGTAAAAAAAAAAAAAAATTCTCTTCAAAATTTGCAGCAACAAAAATGACATTTATTTTTGTTATTGAAAATAACAGTAGTTGGTTCTGAGTTTTTTCCTGTCTAATCTGTCTTCATGAAATGTTATAGGTTTTTCTGCTATACCACACCTTATGATTCCATCTACTGCCCAAGCCACATTAACCAATATTTTGTTGTCGGGAGTGCCCACCTATGGGCACACAGCTCCATCTCCCCCTCCTGGCTTGACTCCTGTTGATGTCCATATCAACAGTATGCAGACAGAAGGCAAAAAAATCTCTGCTGCTTTAAATGGACATGCGCAGGTAATGCCCTTCTCTAGAATAGTGGAATCTATGCTATTTGTAAGTGATAAGCCACCAGCAGTGACGCGCTAGAACCGTCACCTGAAATGAATTGTAATTGTAAAATTATGACCATATGTTATTTTCTATTATTATTTCAGTCTCCAAATATAAAGTATGGTGCAATATCCACTTCATCACTCGGAGAGAAAGTGCTGAGTGCAAATCACGTTGATCCATCCATCCAGACAACGGGGTCTGAGCAGGCGTCTCCCAAATCAAACCCTGCAGAAGGTCAGGAACTCTGTATATCCTGAACTCCAGTCTAGTTTGTTACTTGGGTAAAGGGGGGTTGTAGAGAGTCCATGCAATGATTTTGGGTTGGTTTTGCCCACCAACTATGACTTATCCTACCTCAACTATGCAGAGAGACATCTTGAAAGAAATTCCAGAGAGTATGGTGAATGATTAACTAAGAAGTACTTTCCACAGAAAGAATCACTTTCCCATTACATCAGAACTTCCTAAATTAAAGTGAATGCAATTATGTAGCAGGAACGCATCACTGCCTACTAAATGTTATATATATGAGGGGTCTTCAAAAAGTTCATATTACCTTTCAAT